AAAGAAGCACAAAGATATATTTTGGACTGGCAGAGATCACTGTAATCCATCTGGCCAGTTTCAATGTTCAAAGATGAATTAATAGCACTTTAGAGACACATATTTTTGACCAATTAGCCAGAGTTGTCCCTGAGAATGTGAGAATAACAAGGTGTTGGCAAATTTGATAGCTGATAGACTGTATATTAATTGTGCCATTCACAATCTGTATGTCGTAACTGTGCAAAAGAAGCAGAAGAAAACCTCGTCCCACGTAAACCTTTAGGATCCCTTCCTTCAACTCGTATGTAGGATTGGACACAGCCTACAGTAACACAGCAAATAACATCACAAGTCACAAGAGCTAAACTGAACCCAATTATTAATGCTTTTGCAACCTGAGATACATTGCTGTCTTGGAGCAAAGCAGCATGTGTTTACAATATTCAAGTTATTTCTTAACCTTTTCCCACTTGTTTTTGCCAGCGGGACAGTCACATCAGACAGAGACAGACACACAAACTTTCACTTGTGTGCCACTCCATTAAATCACAATGATATTCTTCTGTGGGATTAGATCAGATTCATGATATCAGGTATTTACTGGCTGATATAACAACAACAAATTCCATTTATATAGTGCCTTTCATAACAGGAGGACATCCCGGGGTGCTGGATAGTCAAGAGCTTGCACCTAAGCTGAACTCGGGAGGGGTGGAGGCTAAGGGGGATGGGGGTACCAACTACTGTGCAATTTACAGTGTCATATTTCACAGCAAAAGCATAGCAACGTGGAATAAATGTATTTAAAAATCCATAGCGGAACTAGCCTTCATGAAGATTGAGTATTTTGCACAGCTTTCTCCCAAATTCTAGCTATTGTTCCAGTTGCATCTTGTAAATTGTGATGAGGATTATAGGGGCAGTGTCACTGATAACAACATTGTAATTGGTTGCATGCAGAATGGATTAGGAAATGATTTTTAAGTTGCACATATTAAAGCTGAATACAATTTACATAGCAATTCCAATTTCAAAACTTGTCATTCTCCTCCCCCTCATGCATATAAGGTGCTGTGCTGGTAAGAGAAAATGTCATTGATAACAAAAATGATAGAGTACAAGTTTCTGTAACTGCAGGTTTGAGGAACAGCGAATGAGTGCACTTTAATGACATCTCTTTAAGGATCTCACACTGTGCAGATCTTTTTTGTAGAAATTCATTTGACAGATTAGCTCATTTAATTTAAATTTAATTTAGTTGCTATTTTCACAACGTAAATCAACAATTTAGTTGGTTATTGTGACACAGTACTGATAGAGTATGATGTTGAAGGCAAGTGGACAATTGTCTTTTTCATGATACAATAATGATGATACATATTTATGAAAAGTATATATTTTTACATTTTTATTCTTTTCAATTTGTCACTGCTTAGGAACCTCGTGACGTGTGGAGCTAGTTGAGGACAATATTGAACCACAGTATAGGCATCCTGCGTTATTCCCAACACCATTTATATCAGACAGCTCTTCAGGGATAGCTCTATCTTTAGCAGGTTAAATATCATCAATATTAGAGTGAATGCTGAATTGAGAGGTCGTTCCAAGGACAAACCAGAGCAAGCAATTCAGAGCCACTACCTTTGAGAAAGAGTCCGATACTAGTAACTGAGATAATCACATTGTGCAGCAATAGGCTTCAGTTCTCTATTTGTCTACGTGTTCCATTTGCAAGAACAATTTCAACTGAAGTATGAGATCTAATATATTCATTTGTTCTACATGATGGCTCCCACAAACATAGATACGGACAAATTATGCCCGGTTTTGATTTTGTTTTGTGTAATCTGGGGAATTGGCATACCATCTTTTTGGTATATTTTAGAACTGTATATTTCTGCTGTATCATCACTATTAAAAAGATAATTTGACCCTTTAGACTGCTGGCAGCTGTGTGGACAGACGAATGTATGTGAGCTGATCTGTTCTATAATTTTTCAGCTCATGTACTGAAGCTCATGAAGTTGAGAGGAAAAAGCATTCATGTTACACAAGTAAAATTATGCAAACGTACATACAATACAATTTACCTTTATATAGTGCTTTTCATTTCGGGAGGATGTCCCAAAGCGCTTCATGCTGCTACATGGGCACCCGAGCTTTCATCAGCTGGGGCTTGAATTTGATCCAGACTAATGGTATAAATACCTTTTCTTTCTCACACCCAAATGAAGCAAGGTTTGATTAGTCTCAACCTAATTCCGAATTTGTCTTGCGGGGAAGAGTCCACAAAACAAAATGGCTCAGTATTCTGCACCAATGGTACCAAAGCTGACCTTTCTTAGTGAAGTTACAAGATTGGATTGGGAAATTGAAATACAAATCTGGTCTATTGGAAGCCGATAGCAAGGTACATTGTTGGGGCAGAGTGGAAGAGCCACACTCCCCATATAATGCTTGCTATACCTCTCTTTGGATGCTTGTTACTGACAGTGGATGGCAATACTGTCCCTCGCAAAAAATCCCTCTTCTCTAAAGAACAGTCACAGTTAATGTTAATTGTATGCTGCAAGTACAATTGTGAGTAATAGCTATAAAGATGATGATAAGAAATAATATAAGACATGGCACGAGTGGTTACAGTTTGTAAAGTAGCACTCCTGATGTGTATTTTTTTTGCTCAGGAGCAGTAATACCTTTAGAGAGAAGGTCCACATCACCTTCTCAGGGCAATCAGGAATGGGCAATAAATGCTGGCAAATTACCAGCATTACCCGCATCCTGAAAGAAAATAAGTATTTGGTCAAAGCTATTGGGTACAGATGATCTAATAGAATGGTGGATCAGGTTTGAGGGGCTGAGTAGACAACTCCTGGTCTCATGTCCTATGTTATGTGAAACTGAGCCTTTTAATCTCTGAGGTCCCAGGTTTAATCTCTAGTCTGATCTGTAGTAAATTATTTGATATCAGTGCTATAATTGTACCATGGACAAACGAGAGAAAGGTTAGCCAGAAATCCTCATCCATTCCCAGCTGCTGAAGTTGGAAAGGGTGCATGTGTGAATGATGGTTCGCTCCCATATTAAAAGAAATATTGGAAGTGTCAGGCTGTCCAATATTCAGGGTGTCAGCTGGTGTAAGGAATGATCGACCACCAGAAATGAGGGAACCAGAGAGCAGCTATGGATATTTCCCCTGGAATATTTCAGTCTCTTCAAGGAAGGAGAGAAGAAAAATTGAATGGGGGAAGAAGCATAGAGAGTTGGAGCTCTGGGGACAAGGAGAGCATTTGAAGTTGCATGAAAATTAGATGTGGGGAAGAAGTAAACTCTTCAAACAGATTGATTTTTTAAAAATTGTAATTAATCAGTTGTAAAACGGTCTTAACTCCTGAAATTAGAGAATGAACACAGTGACCTTGATACCTGAAGGTTAGGAAAAATCAAATCAAGAAACGTTTGGAAAAACACTTTTGCTGAGGTTCAGTCAGTGGATCTCAAAACCAGGAGCTTACATGTATGTCAAGTTGCGTTGTACATTAAAATTCACATAAGTCGTATCAGTCAGGACCATAACATTTCATGTTACTTACATGATGTCCAAGTTACAGACAAACTGTACAGGTCGTATGGAATCCAATTTAATCAGTAATCTACACGTATGTAAGTGCACATGTGGCAGCGGGTAAACACTACGTTTGTTGAGATTCAATACAGCCGGTAAGTGCAGGGATAATGGAGAATAGGGGAGCGCCACTACTCGTTGGAAGATATTTCTTTATAAAATACGATTAGTGCTACAAAATCTAAGTGGTTTTGATAGGAAACTGAATGGGACTCCGGTGCATGTACGAATTAGGCGATTATATGATTAATAACGATAAGATTTTTGCGAGTTTTACTGTATTAAGTTTAAGTATCATAAACCTTTTTTAAACCTGAATGGGATCAATTTAATGAAATGTAACTTATTTCCAAATAAAGAAACTCAAGAGTTCCATGAAACAAAATCACAAGAATGCTGCTTTCACTCGATCCACATTCAGAGTGGCTTCCTGGAGTTGGAATGACATGCGTGGAAAGGTTCCAGTTACTGGAGGGAATCCCCATGATGATTTCTTAATTCATTTCTTAATTCAAAAATCTGTTAAAAAAATACACGTTATTTTTATCTGTTCTGTCTTTTGTGCCTTTACCCAGAACATACTGTGTTGTGTCAGAAAAATCAGTTAACCACAACCGTGGGCATCTCTGTGAATTCAGCAGAATTGCTGCTTGATTGAGCTACCAGGGAGTGCACTGGAGCAATGTCTGAAGAGAGATCTTCAAGAGCTCAGGCATGGTGGCAAAACACAGCATCTGGGAGACACATGGGCAAAGGTCAGCCCCGGCTTTGTCCTCTGATTCTTCCAGTTCAGAGTTTAGGGCTGTGTCACTCTAGCTACCAGCCTCAGCCTTTTTGGTTCACATTGATTTGGGGTTCACTTGAACGCAGTCTGTGAGAAATTGTGCATCCTGTATTCATTCACAGAAATAGGAAGAGGACCTATTGAATTGCCAAATTATTTAACCTGTAAATTTAGTGAGTTTATATGAGGACTCTCTCACAAGGGCACAGGTGAAACAAAAGGTTAATCGTATTGGATACTCAGGTATGTTTTATTTTTGTAAATCCTAGAAATGAGAAAATGGAAATTGCATATTTTCTTATGAAAATTAGGAGTCCAATTTTCACCAAGAATATCATAGCATAATTTAGACTTGAACAACATTGTGGTAAAAATGCGTTCCATGAAGTGTTGGGGTGAAATTTGGAACATTTCATAAAATATTAAATTTTTTGTTGGATAGTTCTTGACTGGTTTTGGATCTGAAGTTCCACGCAGCTGTAGAACAACCAGAGCAGTTCATTAATATTTCATATATTTAAGAGCATAGAACAACGCAAAATAATGTGACATGCAATTTTTGCATTACTTTCATGTGTACCTTACCAAAATGTCTTCCATTTCTTTCAGGCACTACTTGAAACTCAAAGCCTACTGCGAGCTCAGGTTCCCAACTTCACCTTTAACCTTGGATTTTCCGGAAAATTCTACCACACAGGTGAGATCATAGAAGGTGCAGGCACATTTGTTATGATTTAATTCCCAGATACGAAAATAGGTCTTTGCATGAATTGAAAGATAAGAATGGAAAACGACAGTTAATGTTTTAAAGAGGATCTCTCCTCTTTATTTGAAATGTCAATTCTTTATTGCTGAACAATCCCTTGTTTGATTTCGGGAGCACACACACTGCTCAGATGTGGACTATTTGGTATGTTACATCGATTTCATCACTGGGAACGCTACTGCTGTTCTCTCAGGTCAGGCATTCATATCAAATGCTATTTGCACTATAACACTGTGCTAGATTAGCAATTCATCCAACTTCCTCTGTAGATCATAGAAACATCATTATATAGAGTACAACAACAACAACTTGCACTTATATAGCGCCCTCCACGCAGGGTAGCATCTCAGACTGCTTAACAGTGGCAGAGCCTGACTCATACCACAAGCATTGAATCAATTAACCAGATGCCTAGAGCAGAGAAATGGAAATCAGCAGCTTATTGTTTTATAGACAGCATTGAATCAAACTGAGTAAAGTGAAGCATAGCACATGCACACTTACACATACACACAGCTCTCTGCTCTCTGAATTCCAGCAGGTTTGTGAACGGTTGTTTGGATGGTTATCTCTTTGCCAATATGTAAAAAGTGTAAGGATTCTTCAGCCATCAATATTGTTCCAGTTTCACTTTTTAATCCCATGAATAGTGCTGGTCAGGTGAGGTTTCCTGTATTTTGACAGACTTCATGGTCAGCTTGCATGCAAATCCCTAACAGGAATCAGTAGCCTAGCAGAGTAGAGTTCTAAAGGATTGGCCTTGAACTTATCTGGGTCCCTACAAGATTTACTAGATACATGTTCCATGCTGAATCCCACATAAAAGACCCAAGATATTTTGAATTATAAACTCTTCTAAATATGAAAGGGCAGTGTTTCCCTTTACGGGCCATGTTCCTGCCAACAATCTTCATTCTGGGATGAATTTGTTTCAAAATCTGGACAGAGGTGAGTTCAGATTGACCTAAATCAGATTTATACAACACTTCGTAAAACACTCGCTGACTGAGCGTTTGCCACTTAATAACCAGACACTGAGAGCTCCTTGGTAAATAGTGAATCATGGGAATGTGGATCGTTTGGCTGAAATTGTTGCCATTAGACATTGTAACTTTAGCGACTGCTGTTTATGATGAGGGAATCCCATTCGCAGTTGACATTTCAGCCCATGTATCTGGAGTCAGATAAAAGATTCCCTTGTCATCATTGCTTCATGCAATCTTATCTTGATGGTAACACAGTGCTCAGCCTCTGCATTCTCATCTCTGAGTCAGGAGGTTGTGTGTTCAAGTCTCATGCCAGGACTTTGAATTCACGTAGTCTAGGTTGACACTCTAATTTAGTGCAGGAGGAGTGTTGCTTTGTTGGAGGTTCTGTCCTTCAGATGAGATGTCAAACCGAGTTCAGATGGACATTAAAGATCCCCATGCCACTATTTCAAAATCAAAAGGAGTTTCTCCCCATGACCTGACCAACAATACCCCAAATAAAATTGGTCATGGCCTTCATGGCTGTTTGTGGGACATTATGTTGAGCAAATTATCTGTTTCATTCACACAGAAAATACAGTCATTACACTTTTTAATGAATTGTGTAAAGCGCTTTAAGACATCATCAAAGGTGCTGTATCAAATGCAAGGATTATTATTATATTTACCTGGAGACTGATCTCAATTCAACTTGATTTTGGAGCGAATGGAAGTAACAACTGACATGAGAAGATGTGTAGCAGATTTTGGAAGCCAACCTGTGGGCCATTAAGTGATTATATCCATAATACCTGCCACTTGGTGTCACTAAACATCATTCAAGTGATATCTCACTTAAGCTAATGGAGACAGGGTTATAAGCAGGGATTGAGCACAATTCTTATTTGTGTTGTGCTCAACCTGTTCACTACAATATTTTGATTCATATTTGGTGTGAAGAGCAGTGAACTTAATAATAATGCTAATAATAATGATGTCAGGACTAACCTATTGTTTGCAGCAAGCGATTTATATTAATTTCCGTCTAATTCAATGTTGGTTCATTCTAACTGCACCAGGTACCAGTCCCACACCATGTGCAAAAACATTTTTTTCCCAATGAGCTCTTCCAATGCCTTGAGAAGCCCATTAACAGGAAGTGCACAAGACGAGTGTCCAGCCTGCCCCATTTTTCCTCCTTCTACTTGGAGAAATACCAAGCCTCTGCTCAGTGTGTATACCCCTTCCCCATTTCCTTACCCCATTGGTTTTAACACAATTGGGACCATTTTATCTAAAGAAACCCAGGTAAGAACTCAGGTATTATCATTGCCCACACTGTATCGCAAAACGCGAATACTGTGCCCCCACTCAACCTTTTCTTTGAAAAAAGGGATCACTTTCAATGTTATTAGATGACATCTACAGTTTATTGCTGCTCTCAGATAAATGCACAGAATTGTCCTCAGCCCCTATTGAACGTAGCTTTGTATTAGGAAATGCAAATGCAGTTTCCTGCTCCTAATTGCTTTTCTGCTAGTAGTGGTTTGAAATCACTCCCAACAGTCCAATCTGAGGGTCGATAAATCATGCACAGAACAGAAGATTCTGCAAAAAAATTATTCACTCAATCCACGACTGTTTGTGGGACACTCCTGTGCGCAATTGGTTGCCATATTTTGCCTACATAATACAATCTATCCACTTCACAGTATATTCTGGGAAATGCTTTGTCACATCTCAACGACATGATAAGACTTTAGGCGTTAAACACCGGCATAGACCAGTTGGGCCGAATGGCCTGTTTCTGTGCTGTATATTCTAATGTATTCTAATGTATTCTATCTGGGCTACGTTCAGTATGTGTGCTGGCTCCACAGCGCCTCATTGGGCTCTCTGATTCCTCATGTAACCTGCAGTGTCCAACATCTTTGCTTTGCTCTCCACATTTCCTCCACCCATCCCCCCCAAAAAAACACACACATACATATAACATTCCCAATAATCACAATTATTTTGTCTGGATTCCTTGTTGCATACTGTCAGGCTTTTATGAGCAATGATCCACTTTATTTCCTCATGTTCTTTTACTGAGGCCCCGCATTGTTTTAAGTGGAATTATACTGATTGCCTAAGAGTCAGAAACTGCCAGCAACCTTCTGCCTTTCTGCCTCCAAATTGTGATCATAATAATAATAATCCTTGCATTTGATATAGACCTTTTCACATCTTCTAGATGTCTCAAAGCCCTTCACAGAATATGCTGTGAAGTGAATTGACGGTATATTTGTGGGCGAAACGCGGAAGCCAATTGCGCACAGCAATGTCCCCCAAACAGTCGTGGATTGAAAATGACCAATTTATTATTGTTTTGTTTTGGAGGGATTATTATTATTAGGCGTGTGGAGTAAGGAAACTTGTCCAAGGTTTCGCCCTGCCTGGAATTGAACCCAGGTGTCTCGCTTGCAAAGCGAGTGCTCTAACCACTGAGCTACAGGACTCCACGATAACAATAACAAGGACTCATACATAATAACAAAAGAGAACGCCATCACACAAAGTGAATACAGAGTGCTCTGACTGTAGGAAAGGATCCAGCTGAGAAAATGAAGTGGAAAATGCAGCATGTGATGTGGTAATTATTACTGTTGTTGATTACCTTATCACTTACTACATTGTTTTTCACTCTAATGTATCAGAGGTTATATAGCAATGCAATTCAGCACTGGAAATAATGAGTTCACCACTTGCGTTTAGGTTTTCATCAATATTGAAAGAAAATCCATCCACCATCCTCAAGTTTGGCTGCGGTTTTTAGGGATTTGGTTGTATTCTTCAAAACTGACGAGTGTGAATGTTTCAGGAACGGATTCAGAGGATGAAGGTGATGATCTGCTGCTAAAGTCTGTGAATGAGTTTTGGTGGTTCCCCCACATGTGGAGCCACATGCAACCCCACCTCTTCCACAACGAGTCAGTGCTAGCAGAGCAGATGATTTTGAACAAAGAGTTTGCTTTGGTGAGTATCTGCTGCTTCACGAGTACAACTGGTGACCTCAACTGAAACTGAAGAGGAATTTTTGTTAAGCAAAAGATCTGTGACGACAGCATTCTGAAAGTTATATCGGATGGTGGGTAAGGATAAAGAGTGATATTCATTTTGATGCACTTTCCATCTCCCCTCCCCCCCCCCACACACGTACACACACATTCTCACATACTCTCTTGTGCATGCACTTCCTCAGACTCACATGCACTCACATTTGCACACCTGAGTCAAAGAGGCAACCCCTGATGTGCAATTCAGATGCACTTTCATGCCTCCCTCCCAGACTGTCAAGATATGCGCAGCACAGTCACATTTCTTTCTCTATTGGACTACAAGAACAACTACCAAACAGCTCAGGAATCAGACTCAACATTGCTGCAAAAATTGCAATAAGTTCACCACTGGAGCAGCACTGGTTGGGATGTGAGAGCTTGCCTCATTGTTCCTGAATCAGCCAAGATTCTTGCTCCTGAGATATTCAGTGATTCCCATTCCCCCCGCCGCCCTCATCTGCTGGAACATGCACATGAGTGGATCTCAGGTTTGGACAGGATTAAGTTTGGATGGGACTCCCACGCCATGCATCCCCACATTCAGCGTATTTAGGCTGGAAACACTGGGATTTATCATCCCCTTACTAACTCTGGTCATCTCTCCATTGCATGTTTAAAATGGTCATGTTGCACGTGAGGAATAGGGGAGGAATTGGTTCCCATGAAATCAAAGCCCAGGATACATCAGCTTCAGTGGAGGGGAGGGGGAAAATGTGAATGGAGGGAAATACACACATATATGTATGCTTGCCCATAATCCAATAGCGGTTCTGATCCAGAAGTGAGTGTTTATCAGGGTTTATTGTAGTTTTACTGTCATATTGATTGATTCTGCCTAGAAACTGTTTGATCAATGAAATGTCATTTAAATTATTTATTGGCGAAATGGAATGATACTAAACTGAACTGGAAATTTTGTTGGATGAAATCAAATAAATTTTAAGGCGTTTAAACCAGAAGCTGTAGCTCCTGCAGGATATTAATCATTTTAACCTTCTGTGAAATTGGTTGTGTATAATGATTTTCTATGAATTTCAACCACAGTTTGTTGCAAAACAAACTTAAGGAAATGTGCAGTACACTTCCTCAATTCTCCAAAATAACTGTAATAACCAGATTCTTCTTGTCTGGGCTTAAAGGAAACAATTCATCTTACAGATTTATTTCTGACACTGTTCAGCTCCTCACCTCCAATCATCCCTCTTAGGAGGCAATTATGTAATGGCACTGATGGGGTCATGAAGAAGCCTGTGACCTGGATCGATCCACCCTTCTGTGAATGGGAAAGCACACGGGCAAAGAACTGGATATGAAAATGGAGCTCTGTAAAAATGGTACAAAGTTCCCCAATGGTTAAAGATTTATTTGCATACAAAGAAAACAACAATGAGAACTTGCATTTATATAGCAAACTTCCGATCTTGGACATTCCTTGTTTTATTTAGCACAAGGAATACTTTAAGGAATTTGACAAATTTTACCCCAAAGGTTGCTTCTGTTGTTATGATCTGTGCAATAACACTACAGTAATCTTTACATATGATACAGTGTCTTCCTCATTAGAAGGTCATTTCAAAGTCTTTCACAGAATTTACTCTAAAGTGGAGTGAGTGTGAACCTTGTATGGATGAACAGACGACACTCAACTAAATAAGGGGAGGCTAGTGAACTGAAACCAGGGGCAAAATAAATCAACAATAAATTGTGGTGACCTGCAGTCTTTGTAGCAGGAGCCAATTCTGTGTGAGCTTTCGCTGTACCGTTTCCTCTGTTGGGTGGTGGATATTTTTGGCTGAGTTTGCAACCTCAATTTCTGGATGGCACGAAGGTCTGAGCGGAGGCTGACCCTGATCGAGAGGGAGAGAAGGAGATAGATGGCTGCTGCCCCCATACATGCTCACTCAAGACAATGAAAGAGAGTGACCGGCTGTACATCCACTGCACACTCTGAAGCATTAGAGAAACATTTGGATGTCCTCTTAGTTTTTCTATTACCAGACCTAGCTCAGAAAGGGGGAAGAAAGGATCAGATTTGAATTATAAAACCATACAACATTCACATTAAATCTTTAGCTTTGATGTCAATGCACTTTATAAACGTAACAGAATCTAAGAGTGTAGTGTCTTTGAAAAGTCCTTCCCCTAAACCTCACCCCAGCCTGTCTTTTCCATTAAAAATACTTCTCTGATACAATCTTATCTGTTCAAATTAAAGAGGATTCTTTTTATCTAATATTGCATTTCCAAACCCTCTACATCCTTTCTAATGCACATTTTCTAAAAGTCTTTTTATTCAGTGCCTCTTTGTTTAAAAGTATACTGTATTTAGTCAGCGGTGTGGAGTTTTTTTCCCCCTCTTGTTTCTGGTAGCAGTTAAACAAATCTTTTTAGTCTCTGATGGGTTTATCCATGAATACTACACCGCCTACAGGCTTCAAGGAGCTCATTACTCAAAGACTAAAGATCTGGCATGTGGAAAGTGTACTGAACTGTGTTTGAAACCCCTGGTTATTAAAACAACAGCATTCAGTTTAGAACTGGAGGAAACTGGATACACAGCCACCCACTTGCTTGATTTTCTAACTTCACTTACCATTTTCCATTAATTTAATTCATTAGCATGAACTGACTATCTCACCAGCACTTTCTGATTGGTCCCTCCATAATCAAAGGTTGCAAGTGAACAGACTGAGTTAAACTGCACAATCAGTGAAGCTGAGAAGAAGGAATCATAATCAAGGAAACTGCTAGGAGTGTTTTTTTTAAATTATGTCCCCAAAAGTTTCAGATGAACTTCAGATTGTCTCTTGAAATAAAATATAATTTGGGTGTTAATTACATTTTTGATCTGGTTGTTTTCAATCCTTTTCTTTCATGTATTTTCAGTCACTGTTTTTTTCCCCCCGCTTTCCCCGCTTTAGATTTTCTTCGCTTGTTTTTCTCTGACGCACTGCTATTTTTTATTGTGCTTTCTCCATCCAACCTTCACCCTCTATTTCCATTGTTTTCTTCACATTTTCCCATCTCTCATTTTTATTCAGTCTTGCTGTGTGAGCCTGTGCAGGCTTGATGGGCTGAATGGCCTCCTTCTGCGCTGTAGATATCTATGTGTCAGTAAATCCAAATCGCACAACATTACAAATCCAGGCTCTGTCCATCAACCCATAAATGATAAAATAAAATTGTTACAAATATTGCAATTATGTGAATGCTGTATTAAGATTAAGACAAGCAGCAAATATAGCAACATCAGCTGTCTGCATTAATATAGCGCCTTAATGTAAAATAGTGATTCAAAGCAGTTTAGAAAAATAAAATCAATCTGAAATGAAGCGAATGTTGTGATGCAGGTAAATTGAAATAAAAAGAACTATAAAAAAGTGTTTTCATTAATTTTCCAGTCGGTGGGCTGTTAGTTGACTGCCTCTCACAGTTTGTGCGATGTGAAACCTTGGTGCTTCTTGCTTTAAATTCAACATTTAATAGTCAGTTGGTTTGCTAACAGGGAGCCTGGTGATGAACAGGTCTGCTTCACACCTCAGCTGATGGATGGTGTTCACTAATCGTGTCCTAATGTGCAATTATTGCTATTTGTTAGTTCCACCAGAAGAAATCATTCCAGTTTAAAGAGTGTGTCACTTCTCCTTACTTCAAAGGCCTTACTTCACAGCCTAGTTAAGAAGCCTCAGATATTACAAATCTGCTGAAGCTACAGGGTATTCTGAATGGAGATGGGAGGATGGCATATCACCATTTCCAAGAATTTGATATTAAACTGTGAGAGAAAATATTAATATTCAGTAACACAGTAGTCTGGCTTTGCAATATTTAGCGTCTGGTTATGGTCTTGCAGTTGAGATTTTTTTATCCTCTCTCTGCACCCAGGTGAGTGAGTAAAAATGAGCTGACAAGTATCTTTATGTGCTACAGGAACATGGGATCCCCATCCACATGGGCTATGCCGTGGCCCCGCATCACTCTGGCGTTTATCCGGTCCATATGCAGCTGTACGAGGCTTGGAAGAAGGTGTGGGGCATCAAAGTGACCAGCACTGAAGAGTATCCACATTTGAAGCCTGCGCGGTACAGACATGGCTTCATCCACAATGGCATCATGGTAGGATTCACTTCCATTTCCCTAACTATCACTTGGTGACATTTTCTGCCCAAATGACACCAAGTCTCACCTTTAAGAACATATCATCTTAAAATTCAAGAATGTACAGGATTGTGAAGAATTTTTCAAGTCGGTCTTACTTTGTTCCCTAGAATTCCATCCCCAAATCACTCCAACTCGTTCACTTCATCCCATTTTTGATTGCAAGACTTAAAACATACCTCTTGGCCTGCACTTTCAGTCATCCTTCCCCTCCGCATCTCCACCCTTCCATCGGCTCCCACCCCTCCTTCGGCTCCCACCCCTCCCTCGGCTCCCACACCCAGCTCAGATAGCCATCCATCACTGTGAATGGGCTTTGGGGTGTCCTCCCAATGTGAAAAGTCCTAACTATATCAACATAAATCATAATTTGGAAGACAGTTATTTTTAAGAACCACAGAACTCAGGCTCCCAAATTAAGACTGAATTTAAAAATTGTCCGCAGCTGAACTTTAATTTAGATTTTATACAAAATGGTTTTACATTGCTAAGTCTTGGTGAAATGTCATGCCTCAGGTGCTATGTTATCTATAATCAATATATACGAGTATGCTGTCCCGCTAAGGATGTCATCCGTGATCGCACTTTCTATTTAAGACAACTTCTCCTATCACATATATTTTGCTTTCCAGTTTTATATAATAATGTTCCTTGTATTTGATTTATAATGTCAACATGTGTCAAAAAGATTCACAGGTGGTTGCTATTAAGTGTAATGGTTGTATTTTGTAGGCAAATGAGGCAACCAGTTTGCACCCAGCAGTATTTATCTGGAGGATTGTTGGCCTGGACATTTTGAAAATTCTACTTTTTTCAATTGTGTCATTGGACCTTTGACAACCATTCGACCAGGAAACGCATAAGAAAGTTGTTGAGCAATTGGATGGTTAAGGAGATGGATCAGTGGCCTCGAAATTGTTACTATATAGGATGAGAAAATGCAACATGTGGTGTGATAATTCTCACTGGTGATAATTGTCACATTGCCATAAATTGCGGTCCAACCAGTCAATAACTAGATGTGAGATGTGATGTGGCAGTGGGCCTGATTCCTCTGGCCCAGATTTCAGTGCAATGATGTGGCCCGAAGCTGACCTGGGGTTGTCATTGTTGCTGCCGCCCACAGAGCACAGTATTTAAGTGACATTTCATGGGATACAGTCATCAATCCCAAACGGCACCACCAACAGCGGTAACTAGTGACTTGGACTGAGTCAGTGTTCAAAGTCTAGGAGGAAAATTGACCACAATTCTTGGCTATCTGATAAGTGAAAACCAGTGAAAATTATTACATCTCACATCTTTCATTACTTAGTCACCCAGGATAGATAACCAGCGGTGTTACAAAGAAATAATCCAATGAAGGTATCAAGACATTATCCTTTTTAAAGAACTGGCCCTGGATTATATCTTCATAAAATTTATCAAATAGAGAATAAAATTGCTTAACTCACAATGACAAAATAATAATACTTATATTTGGTTTTGCATCTTTCACTTCGGGATGACATTACAAAGTACTTTACAGGACATACTGAAAGCAGAGTGACTGGATATTTTGTGGGCAATCCTGAGAGTAAGAAAACACTTAATTGGACAGGAGCAGTACTTTCTGCCACATTATTCCTAAATAGGTTAAGGAATGCACTAAGGAATATAGCAATTTTTGTCCTGCAGTGAGCAGTGCAGAATTGCAGAGCAAATAACTCACATCTCATAGCTTCATATTGTTGCAGAGTGAAGCTCTGATGTGAATATTTGGGGGGAGAAGGACATATTTTTATTTCGTCATAAAGTGCTCCCTGTATGTTGTAGTTATGGAGTGCACTAGAAGAAGACTCACATCAGAACCTTACCACATTTTTTTTGATTCTACTGAGCCCTTAAGGTTTTGGTTTGTGTTCGGTTGAAAAGGCTTTGTGCATCTGAGCAATGTTGGCAATGTTGCGATGCAAAATGCATCAGTTTGACACAGGGTAAGTGAGAGTGTTGAATTGGTGCAGTCTGTCAAGGATTCCACCAGCCTTGGGGCAATATATCAAATTTGAAAGAGTGATGGCCAACCTTAACACAAAGTCTAATATGTGAGTGCTGCCAACTGTGGCCAGTGCACACATGTTTTTTGCAATCCATTTGATGACTTAGGTGAAATCTTCACAAGCACGTAAACAAAAATTGCCTCCGGGTTTCCTGTTGATACTCCAGCAGTTATGCCTCCCATCGCAACACAGCCTCAGTGTTCTGCTGTTCTGCAACGAGAGGAGGCTAGAAGCCCTAATGGCATTGCCAGGGTTTGTAGAGTTGTTGTCTCATATGGTGTAATTATCTCTTCCTGTTGCGTTTGGAGAGGCAGCAAGCTTTAATTAAAACAAAATGCAGCTCAGTGTAACTGGAAAATCACTGGAATAGAATGTGGAGTGTTGGAAAGTCACTGTGGAAAAAAACGAGGGATCGGGGACTTAATTAACAAAGTAGTCTCTTCAGCAATCTACTTCTTGTTTCTAAGCTTTTTAAATCTGTTTAAAATCAAACACTGAATTCTGGTTGGAATTCGGGCCACCACCACTAATGTACATTGTGCTTCAACTCGGATGCATTGAAAATCTACTAACAAGGGACCGAAATTCCATCTAGCCCTAGCCTAATTTAAAGAAATTCTCTCGTAAAATTTAAGATTGTAGTAAAAATCTTATATTAAATAGGAAGCTTTTTTTAAGAGCTATGGAAAATAGTTAATATTGAATTCAAGTGTTTGTCATAATTATGGAGAATATTACATTTTATGGTAAAATGGACTCACAAAGACTAGGTGAAATGCAAGAGCTAATTCCCTATAAATTTGGAGGTTTGGGCAGATGACTGTGGCTGGTTATTATGTTTACTCTGCAACAATGACTTGCACATATAACTTTCAAGAAGATTAGGTAGAATTTCATTTTCGCCCACAAAATAGTTAATCAGTATACAACATATTATGTGAAGCACTTTGAGACATCATCTCAATGTGAAAGGCACTATATAAAATGTAATATTATAATTAATGTCTCAAAGCTCTTAATTATGATTCAAGTACATCAATTGGAAGCTAAATTAAAAATGTATGATTTTGGGGAGATGTCTGAAGACAGGTAGAGAGGAAGTGAAGAAAAGAGGCTTTGAATTAGAGTTCCAGAAGGTATAGAGGCTGAAGGCTCTGGCACCAATGGTGGGTTGGAGCATGTGAGGAACAAACAATAGATCAGAATCAGAGGAGCAAAGGATACGAGCAGGAGAGTAGGGTTGGAGGAGATCGCTTAGATAGTGATGAGCTTAGCCCTTAACAGAACTTTTCTGACCATTTCTCCATAAAATTATACACCAACAGCAGGCCTGGATAGAACGCAATGCATTGGCCTGTCAGTCAGTGAATTTATTGATAAACAGAGAATAAAATTTGCAGCTCAGGTTTTAAATCACATACCATGTATGAGGTCCTCCTATAGCAAAATTGTTAGCTGTTTATAATGAAATGCTGAGTACTTATCTTCCATTTAGGTGTGCAGGACAATGGACTGTGTCTTGGAGATCAATGGGAACCTGTACTCTGGGTTATTAAGAACTTAATCTCTGTCTCTGCACTAACTGGTTCTTGGAATTGGACATTTTAAAGGTGTTAACTTCAGTGCAACTACAAACCATCTGCCTCAAGATCACATTTTTCCGGCAAAGATTTAGACAGACTCACAATCTTTGTTAGATTATGCAGTCATAAGAAAGCATTGAATAAGCAAAACCTAATTAGTCCATCAACTCCTCTCCCCAATCCATTGTATCCTATGTTGTGCTTCAGCCCCTAATCTTCCATGGCCTTCAAAAAAAAAACCTTTGGAGACACTTCCCCTGTCTCCAAAAGAAAATTGAGCAAAAACTCCAGATCATTTATCCACCTCAGGATCTCCTCTATCTAACCCTATCTCTTTCCTCCAACAAAAAACAGATTTCCCATCCCTGCCTCTGCTCCACCACAGAAATTATAAGGTTTCATAGAGTACATGATCATCCTGATCTGTTTCTATCATTTGCCAAGCGGATACTTGGCTTCCACCAATGTTGATAAAGTTGTGTTAAATCCATGGCCCAGTACTATCAGACCTCAAATCATGTCAAAGTCTTACAGTCTTCAGTCCAGTGAGTGCCTAGAGGTGACACAAGCCCTGCAACAACAACAACAACAACAAGATTCCATTTATAGAGCGCCTTTCACATCGGGAGGACGTCCCAAGGCGCTGTACAGTTGGGTCAGGACCCGAGCAGGGGGAAATGGTCAGGGTGAGGGGAGGGAAGGGAGGGAGTGAGGAGGGGGGAAATGGTCAGGGTGAGGGGAGGGAAGGGAGGGAGCGAGGAGGGGGTAGAGAGTCGAGACGGGAGCTGAAGGCACGGTCAAAGAGAAAGGTCTTGAGACCGGCCTTGAAGGAGGAGGCAAGGCGAAGGCACTGGGGGTTAGAGTTCCAGAGCCTAGGGCCTGAGAGGCTGAAGGCCCGGCCACCGATGGTAGGGCAGTTGGGGCGGGGGATATGGAGCAGACCGGAGCCAGAGGAACGGACCCAGGACGAAAGATCAACCAAACAACTCTGCTTCTAACTTGGTCACCTGAGGCAATTCAACGACTCATGATGCACCAAGCTCATTGAAGACCCAAACTTTCGTAGTTGGCCATACACATGCAGTCTAAATCATATCTACCCCAATTTTAGGCCAACTCCCAAGGCATCATAGCTGGGGTTCTGGTATATTCCCTGGGATTAAGTTTTCAAAACAGATTAAGATTGCATACATTTAGTCTGTCACACTGACCACACTTTTCCAGTTTTTATTTAAGGAGTTGAACGTCACAGCATTGATTGCTTTTGTTGTGAATCTGTTCACAGGTGCATAGTCCACTAACTTTATTACAGCACAAGAGGTCAATTGGCCCATCAAGTTTAAACTGATAGTAGCTCAACCCATAAGACCTAAATTCTCTAATCGCAATTCCCTGCTCTTTTCCTGTACCCTTTTATCATAGTAGCGAATGCAAGTTTCAGGTGAACATGGGTGTTTGTTGTAACTCAATGTGAGCTTGCTGCCTTTTTTTTGATGGAATTGTCCGTCAGTAACACATATCAGTCCGTTTCTGACATAATAAAATGTTCTATGCTACTAAGGGAAACTTCAGCAAAGATCTATTGTTACAATAAAACAATAGTGGGGAAGTTGGCACCAACACAGGCACATGAGCCAATGGCCTTGCTCTGTGCTGCAAACTTTCTATGATTCTAACTTTCTATCCATGTATTTTTCTAAATTACTGAATGATTTAATTAACACATTGATAATATCTTGTTGGAATTCATCCATAAAAACATCTCAGGAAAATACGTAAGGGATTAGTATGTTCTTAGCAGCTGCAGAAGCAGATGGAATGGACAAAATGATTCACGATTAAGCATCACTTTCAAAAAGATGGTTTATAAAGCACTTCAATATGTTCTTTTTTGTGAATAGTTCTAAAAGAATGTAAGTTAATTTTAATACTTATGGAGCACTATAGAGTATTGGTTAGACCACTTGCCTCGTAAGCGAGAGTACCCAGGTTCGATTCTCGAGTACGGCAGAATCTTAGGCAAGTTTCTTTACTCCACACGCCTCTGTTTACCGAGCAGTAAGTAGGAATCCAGTTGTTAGTCGATTGGCAGATCACTTTCCAGGGGTAATAATTCTTCCCCCAAAAATAATAGTAATAATTTGCTCACTCAATCCACGACACTGTTTGGGGGACAATTGGCTGCTGAGTTTCACCCACAAAATATACAGTCATTTCACTTCACAGTATATTCTATACTTTGAGATGTCTCAACATGACAAGGTACAATATCAAATGCAAGGGTTATTATTACTATTCTGAAATGCCCATTGGTTCTTTTTCTTCCAATGTAATCCAATTTGTGAATTTGCTTTGAGGGAAATTTGTTCAAAATGTATTCCTTTATTTTCTTACATCAGGTACTCCCACGACAGACCTGTGGCCTCTTTACACACACAATATTCTACAAAGAGTACCCCGGAGGCCCAAGAGAACTGGACAAAAGTATCAAGGGAGGAGAGCTGTTCCTTACTGTTCTCCTGAATCCAGTAAGTACAGAACAGAATCATTTCTTGTTGGAGACAGACAGAGAAAATAAAGAAGACAGATGGAATTTTGGGGGAGCAATATGAGAACATTTGTTGGACTCCCAAGAATTAATTTCTTATCTGTTCATTCGTATAGGGCAGTGTGTTCATGTGCTGTGCGTATGGTTTCAATTGGTTTTAGGTTGCGGTGAATTAAGAAATAATGTATATGTTTGCAGCATCTTATCATGTCCACATGTTTCAAAATACTTCACAAGTAAGTACTGTCAAGCTTAGTGACTGTTTGTAGGCAAATATGGCAGCCATTTGCTCCCTCTAGATCCATAAGCAGCCACGAGTATTCTGAATGACAAATTTATCTGAAGGATTGTTAACCAGTCCACCAGAAGAAACTCCCTTCACTTTTTGAAAAGTGATGTGGAATCTTAAATGTTTACTTGAACAGGCAGATACTGTAAGTTTTGAGAGTTTCCATGCCTATTGAGCACCCCTCTCTCATTCAACCTTTAATTCATGACAAGAAGGAAAACATTAACATGGTTTAAGTTGTGTTGCAAATTAATAGTGTTTGTGGGTAATATGATTGGTTGGATTGTCTCAGTCACTGCTCAAAGTGGTTTCATAGAAGAGTGGCCAATATGAGGAGAACCGGATGAAGGGAAAGTAAAGTAAAACTAAATTCATTTTGATCTCTACATGAGAAATACTGGTAATGCAGTTTCTTAGTCTATAATACAATGTAGAACATAATTGGTAAATTAATTTTGGAGATAAGTGAGAGCAAGCAGACATTAGGCATTCCTCCCTCTAGAGCAGCAAATAGACATTCAGAAGATGAAATAACCCAGGACACTCATACATCTCCAACTGGTTGGCTTTTCAGTGGCATGTTTTTTGATCAGCCAGGTGTTGACCAATTCAGAAGCCCATTAACGTGCTTAAGAGTATCCAAACCAGACTGAAAGTTCCATGTATGCCACATAGAAATTCCCTTGTCTGAAATGGAACATTCACTCTCTGCCCAGAGGGACGAACCCTGCTTAACTAATTCCGGAGAATATTTAGCAAAAGTTGCCAAAAGCCTTTGGTGGGGAATCCAGTGTGCATTGGGTGCCATTGGAGTCTAACCAGCTAAACCTGTAAAACTTGCCATTGAGAGCACTCTCTGTAAGTTTCCTGCTCCTTGTCCAGCTAGAGCTTCAGCCTGCAAGGTTAACATGACTGAGTGTAATGAATCCCTGCTCTGGTCTGAAGACTGGTCTTCCTATGAATGCCCTTGAATACTGCGGTTTCTTCTAGTTTAGGAACTGGACCCACTGGGAGTGTCACAGAGGGCTGGTTCAATTCTGACATTTTATTGCCACGTATGTCACCTTGTAGCCAGTTTAGCTGTATGGAGACTTCGCTTACCTCTCTGCGCACCACCATCAACCAAGGAGGATTGTCAGTGGCATAGGCAAAGGCCTTGAAATGTCATCCTAGGAAAACTCTCATTCCGAGAGAAAACCAACTTCAAAATTAAAACTGAATTTAAGAATTTATCCAATTCTGAATGCCCTAAAATGCTATGTCAGAAGAATTAATATAGACCAAGGTGAAATTTCTTCCCAAGAGCGAGTTAATGTGAAAGCACCACATAAGTTAAATATTGTGGATAAGCACATTAAAAAATAAATATAGATATTTCAATAGTATATTATTTATTGGTTCAAAAAGTATATTATCCATTAGTTCAAAAAGAGCAAATTGGCTCTGTTGAGTGGATAGAGTGGAAAGATTCCTATCTGATGTGGGTTAATCATCAATATCCAAATGACCTCCTGCAGACGAAGTACATAGAAGGTCGCTAACATCCAATGTTGTGGTTGCTTAAATACTCAATCTGCACGAAATGAATTCAGTACTTTTAGCAACAAGTAGATGTCTGTACATAAGTCGTATTACAATGTTGCTATCTGGCTTGTTAGCATCACTAAACACTTCATTATCAATTAAAATAAGACTATCCAACGATTCGCCTTGTCAGTGACACAACCTCTGGGGAATATCAATTTTAAGTCCTCCCTTCTAGATAAAACAAACATAGTATCTTGTACCTTCAGTGTTGGAAAGATAACACATTGGCCTAGTAAACAGAGTTTTAGGCAGTGCAATCTTTCCCATCTTGGCCACTTTCAGATTAGCCTTGAGACTGGCATGAAGCACCATCTTCCATGTAAATAAATAGAACTGTTCTGAAATGAATGTGACATTTGTTCTAACATATTCATTGGAGTTGGCTGGTGTTCCAATTATAGGCCTGTAAAAATCGGTCCTTTTTGAAGGGGAAATACTTTATTTAATTTACAGTGACTAAGAAAATGCAGGAATTAAGATGCTTAATCTGTGAACAGATGGCAAAATATTTTCCTCTGAAATAATTCTTCTCCTAGATCATTTCCCTTATTCTACTACATTCATGTCTTTTCTTCCCTTTTAAAAACTGGCAACAGAAAATGCATAGATTAAAGCAAATATATATTTTACAAATACATTAAGAGGAATAGGCTAGTGAGGATAAATGTAGGTCCACTTCAGTCAGAGACGGGAGAAGTTGTAATGGGGGACAAGGACATGGCAGAGTCCCTAAATGGGGACTTTGCATCTGTCTTCACCCTAGAAGACACAACAAGTTTGCCAACAATAGACATGCACCAAGGGGATAAGGACAGGGAGCAACTTAGGGAAATTTTCATTAGTAGAGAATTGGTGCTAGGGAAACTGTTAGCACTAAAAAGTGACAAATTCCCTGATCCGGATGGCTTGCATCCCAGGGTTTTAAAAGAGGTAGTTTATGAGATAGTGGAGGCCTTGTGTCTGATCTTCCAAAATTCCTTGGATTCTGGAACAGTCCCCATGAATTGGAAGATCGCAAATGTCACACCACTATTTAAAAAGGTGGAAAGGAAAAGATGGGGAACTATAGGCCAGTTAGTCTAACATCAGTGATTGGAAAAATTTTAGAATCATTGATTAAGGATGTGGTAGTGCGGTATTTAGGGGACACAATATAATTAGGCCAAGTCAACATGGCTTTACAAAAGGGAAGTCATGTTTGACAAATCTCATAGAATTTTTTGAGGATATTTCCAGTAAACTAGATAACGGTGAATCAGTGGATGTGGGCTATTTGGACTTCCAGAAGGCATTCGATAAAGTGCCGCATAAAAGGTTAGTCCAAAAGATAGGGGCCCACGGAATTGGGGGGAACATATTAACGTGGATTGGTGAATGGTTAACGGGTAGGAAACAAAGAGTAGGGATAAACGGGTCCTTTTCAGTGGAGTGCCACAAGGATCAGTCCTTGGGCCTCAGCTATTTACCATCTACATTAATGATCTAGATGAGGACATTGAAGTTAATATATCTAAATTCGCGGATGACACAAAACTAAGGAAGAATTGTCAACACAGAGGATGACATTAAAAAAATGCAGCGCGACATAGATAGGTCAGGTGATTGGGCAGGTAGGTGGCAGATGAAGTATAATGTAGGGAAGTGCGAAGTCATCCACCTAGATAGCAAAAACATTAGAGCAGGTTATTTTTTAGAAGGGGAGAGATTGGAATGTGTTAGCGTCCAGAGGGACTTGGGTGTCCTTGTACACCAATCACAGAAAGTTAGTCTGCAGGTGCAGCAGCAATTAGGAAGGCGAATGGTATGTTAGCATTCATACCATTCATACCATGGTATGTTAGCATTCATACTCTTATACGGAAGAGTACGGAAGAGTACGGGAAGTCTTGCCTCAACTGTATAGGGCCCTGGTGAGAACACACCTGGAACACTGTGTGCAGTTTTGTCTCCTTATTTAAGGAAGGATGTACTTGCCTTGGAAGGGGTGCAGTGTAGATTTACTAGGTTTGTACCATGGATGAAGGGGATGAGTTATGAGGATAGGCTGACCAATTTGGGCCTATATTCTCTAGAATATAGAAGAATTAGAGGGGATTTTATAGAAACCTATAAGATCATCAAAGGACATGATAGAGTAGATAGTGGGAGATTGTTTCCCCTGGTTGGAGAAACTAAAACCAGGGGTCACAACCTTAAAATCAGAGGCAGCCCTTTCGCACTGAGTTGAGGAAGAACTTCTTCACTCAAAGAGTGGTGAATGTTTGGAACTCGCTACCCCAAAGGGCTGTTGACGCTCAGTCCTTAAAATTATTCAAGACTGAGATAGATATATTTCTTATTGCAAAAGGGATTAAGGGATATGGGGATAAGGCAGGGTTATGGTATCAGCTGGAGTTAGATTAGAAGATCAGCCATGATTGAATGGCGGGGCAGGCTCGAAGGGCTGAATGGCCTACTCCTGCTCCTACATGTTATGTTATGTTAAATACATGAAATACACCAAAATGTAATCAAATCAACCTTGCACCAAATTTCAAGTCATTCCAATCATTCAAGCAGTGTCGAGTGAATAGGAACGTGTCCATAAACATTCACACAGTGAGACTTAAATAGTCAGTGGAATCAAATCAATCCTCTTTGGCAGTCTCAATAATCTGGTTCCTAAGCCAGGCATGTTCCTATGTCTACAATATTCCAGGCCATTGCTGATGACAGCCCAGCTAGCCTGGCTCATTGGTATGACTTGGATGGGCAGACCAGTCACTGGGAACACGGATCCTTTCCAGTTCTATTCTGTTAACCCTGCAACCCAAAGCCGTACCGGGTTTGGATAGTCCTAGCTGGACAAGCAGTGGGAAGCTGCTAGTCCAGCTAGGACTATCCATAGCTATTAGGTATGGAGACGGACCTTTCTATGGCAAGCTGTACAATTTTAGCTGGTTAACCTCCAGCAGTACTCCAACACAAACTTTGGATCCCCAAGCCTTTGTTCTTGCCATTCTCTGAGTAATACTCTCTGAAATTACATAAGCAGGATGTGTACCTCCATGAGAGAATACACACTGCATTACAGACAGGGAGTTTCCATGAGGCATATTATACAT